AGGCTGCAAAGCAAACAAAAAAAGTGCAAAACAAAGATCTCCAAATGTACACGTTTGCCTACATGCAGCCAAAACTTCACTCAGCTCAGGCAGACTTACACGTCAGAGATTACCTCTGTTCAACTTTGACCTGCATCTGACATATCAGCCAATAAAAACACTGATTGATTTTGTCTGTATTTTTTTATTTCGTGTGCAATATAACACCACCAGACTATAAACTGCAGCATTGCTCTCATGCATCAAATAAAGTCTGTTGGTGGAGATGTGGCCTTGCACTGCAGGAGTATGCAATACAACTCAACGCTATTCATTCCTTACAGAACAGTTTTTGGTCTACAGACAATTGCTTCTTTTTACTCTGGAAAATGCTAATAATTTTACATTGCATATAATAGACTGGGATAAAGGTCAATTACATTAATATATATATATAATAAAATACATTTATGCTGGCGTCTTAATCACTCAAAAACGTATTCAGTGTTAAGTTACTTTATAAATATTATCCAACCCAATGCGGACCCCCTTTTTATTTTTCTATGAATTTGCTTCTCAATTTATCAATTAATTGTTTGGTCCTTAAAATGTCAGAAAACACTGAAAAATGTCCATTCAAATTTCTCAAACTTGCCCCAAATAATACTTAAGTCAGTAACTATATGACATTAATTATTTATTTAACTTTTGGTTGACTAATCGATTAACAGTTTTCACACAATGATCTGTTTTATCCATGTACTGTGCTATATAGCATATCTTATATACGAAGGGGAAGTGTAGTAAATTGCAAGGCATACTCTTAAAGCAGCTATAAAATAATAATTCCATTTTTGTTTAGTATATACATTTAAAAATATGTCACACAGTAGTTACTCAATAACCGTCAGATACTGTGACAAAAGCGAGGTGTAAGAATGTATACAAACACATAAAGCATGCAAATCAGGAACTGAATCATGCGCACCAAATGTGAACAAATATCAGTTTACACATTTTACTAGACTACAAATGTGAGAATGTTTTTACATAATGCGTTTGACGACAGCTATTATTCAAGCATGTTAAAACTCTTACGGCATGATTGGCTCTGAGGAGCATGATCAGCCGAATCGGCTGCATGCTGCTGCAGCATCTGCACAGCGGGGATTTATAGCTGGTGATAAGGAAATCTTGTTGTTGTCTTCCATAATTTATGTAGTTGACTGTATTACATTTTTAGATGCAACACAACTGTAGAGCTCATGAAGACGACTATGTGAAAGGGATTTATAGCTTTCCTCCATGTTGGAAATAAATATCAAGCATTTATGAGGAGTATGCAGTGCTGGAGCTGCTTCCATTGATTGGCTGGAGCTGAAATGGACTCTGATCCAAGAAGGTTGACTGGCAGTAGTAAATGTATGCAGACAAGCGTGGACTAACACAATTATTTCCTATTTTCTACTTGCTGGGGGAGTTGAAAAACGAGCTGTCAGTCTCGTTGCTGCTGTCAGATTAAGTTGCGCTCAAAGGATTTTGTTCCCTTTTCGATTTTGTTCCCTTTTCGATTTTGAAGTCTAAATCACAATAAACATAAACTTTTCTGCTGACAGTGGAAAGAAACTGCAGAAAAAGTAATCCATTTCTGGACAGACTATTTACCACCAGAAGATTCCATCTCTTAATTTCCATACAAATGTAAAACTAGGCAGGCATGGAATCTCCTGTGAATCTTAAATGAATCCAATTGTTCCAACACACTTCAGGGTTTGCTGGAGGCGCACAAGTCAGCAATTTCAAAATAAAAGCCCTCTGTGATTCTAATCTGATTGACAGAACATTGTTTCCTTCAGTCACATATAGAGTTAGCATAATGCATGTTCTTTTTGCACCTCAGATCTTGGAAAAGAAAATTGGAAAATGCACAGATTTTATAAAGACAGAATACTACAGATACATATATGAAGCTCGAATCCCAGGAGTGTTTAAAATCTTCTGAGACACTTTATTGCGTCTTTCAATCAGCATAGGAGCAACCAATTACACTGATACTTGAAGCCCTTAAACAAATACTCATCCTATCATTTGAACCTATATGCATGGCATGTGATTACTGTTTGTTAAATCGTTCATTGGCATTTTTACCTTTACCATCTGCATTCTGTGCAGTTTCCAACCCAACAGAGACCATTTTGACCCAGTTAATCTGCATGACATCTCTTAATGTGAGAAGCTTTTATTGCTGGGAAGACTGCCATGCTATCCAGCTGGCTTGTGGTTTGTGAGGTTCTGAGCATTTGCCTGAGGAAAATGAATAATGCATCCATGTTATTCAAACCTTCGTTCTGTAACTTTTGCTTTAGGTAGGGGCGATGTGAGGAGGTATGCTACATGAGCGACTGCCGCTGCTGAGCTCATGTAAAAATGATGATACTTCAGAAAAGCTTCAGATGTTTTTCTATTCCCTCCAAGACTTCTTTCATTTTTCTGAGGGAATTGTGTCCAGGTAAAATAAGAAAAAAGTACATTTGAGGCCTTCACAGCACACTAGCTTCATATTCTTATAGTGCCCGGGTGTTTCATATTCCATGTTCAAGTGTTGCAACTTTAAAGGGGACCTCTCATGCAAAATGCACTTTGTGATGTCTTTTATACATAAATATGTGTCCCCGGGTGCGTCGGGGAACTCACGCAGCGTCAGAAAATAAAACCCTCTCTCTTTTCCTCCGTACCCAAATCTTTTAAAAACGGGGCTACAACGAGCGGATACAGATTCCATCCGAGCTGACGTCAGCCCGGAATAGTGGGCGGGGACGCTCCGCCTACATGGGCAACGCAATCGTTATCAAAAAAGTCTTCCGTCCACACGCAACAGGCACCAGAAACGTGTCCGTTCACACGAGACCGCTCAAAAGCGCTGGAGACGCTGTAGTACATATGCCAGGCCTGTAAGTGGCGCTGTAGTCTGCCACAAAAGCAGCGAAGAAGACTTCCCGTGCATGGTTGCCATGGTTGCCCTTCTGTTTATTCTCCGCTGTTGACGCTCTGGCTCTTTTTCTCCCTCCCCGAGGCAAGCGTTTGCTCCTGCTGTAAATCTCTCCGGTAGTCCACCAGCAGATGACAAACACCCACCTCTCTGCCTCTTCCAAGGGACGAGGGGACCGTGCGGCAGAGTTTCAGTTCGATTTTTTTCCGCCGGTCAACATGTCCGTTAAAGTTAAAATCTTCCGGACAAAATTAGAAAAGTGCCTGACAAAGGTCTTCTTTGTTATTTATTGAGCTTTAAAACAAATGAATAATGACTCTATATAATCATATAAGAATAAAACACGGAGGACGGAGCCTCTCTTTTCCTCCCCCTCTTCTGAGAGCCCAGCAGCTGATCTCCCTCTCCTGCAGGGGGGCGTGGTCAGCTGCAGCTCATTTGCATTAAAGCTACGTCACAGAATCAGCCCTTGCAAAAACAGGGCTGGAATAGAGCAAATAAGCGAAATGAGGCATGGCTAAAATGCATGATCTGTTTGGTATTTTGAAAAATAGGTCCACTTTAAGTCCACTTTAAACCACCTCCACGACCCAGAAACCTCAAAGGGACTATATTTGTTGTGCTGCAATTTACATTCATGAACTATAGGCGGAACTCCACGGAGATGTGACCTGATAACTGCGGATAGGGATGATAACCTTGAGGTCTGGCAGGCTGATGTCTCCAGGCAGCGTGCCCCTGCTCCTTTGGACAGATGACACACTGTGCGTCGGTGTCCGCTGCTCGCTGTGCTGCTGGCCTAAAGATCATCTGCTGGAGATGTGGCCTCACGACAGGAGCGAGGCGCACACAGCGCAGCGGTCTCAGTGTATTTACGAGTCAAGAACAAAAGGCTGCTTGACCTTTCAGACGGAATGGAAAGGAAAGGGAATTGCTAAAGCAGAGAAATTAAGAGAGTCATAAAGTGCTTTTCTAGCTGTTGTCGTGTCTTTGGTCTCTATGCCGGCTTTGTTGGCAGACTGCAGCCGGTTCATAGAGATAAGGTTGTGCGAGAAATGGCTAGAAATATATGACTGAACAAAGCTGTAAGGACTGTTTTTTTTGTTGAGAATTTGCATAATACCCAATCACGTAATATTAATCGTTATATAGGATCTGTATATGTCTGAATGTGTGACAGAATCTGCTGTTGCTGCAAGTTTTATGTCCTTTTACTCTATCTGTTAACCACACAACGGACAATGAAGAAAGAGAGATTGAAAAGAAGCTTATTTGCAACTGCATTGTCCGTGGCTAAATGAAATGCCAGCAGTGTGCTTTATTTTCATTAATAACCTTCATGTTCATTCTCGCCAGTTGAACATTGGTGAAGAGTTAAGCCATTCTTATTTCAGCCTGCGCTACGTGCAATCTATCCCACCAGAAATAGGGCTGCATAATTCATTTTGTGCTATGTGATTTGACCATGGTGTTTCTGAGCGTCCTGTTAAATGAAAATATTTCACGTGTAAATGAATCATTAGCAGGGCTTATTCTCCATTCTCCTGCTACAATAATGATCTCTTTCTAGCGCTGGCCTGGATGAATCTTTCATTGTTTTTATCTTTAGATGAGTTGGCACAGACGTTCAAGGAGACACGGGCCGCGGTGTGTTTCACAACACTGTCAAAGTTAACATGTGGCTGAGCTAAGTGCCATAATTTAATTGATGCCAAGTGCAATAACATCACCCGCTGATCTTTTAATAATATGGAGATTCGTGTCCTTTCACTTCATTATTATATTGCCTTCTCAACATGCAAATGTAAATGTACAACTGCTTCCACATTTGCACACAGAGTCTAGACTCTAGACAATATTTCAGGGCTCTTGCAGACTTTGGAATGCTATTTTAGATTGTAATGAGATGGCCTTTAACCTTTGGATTCAAGCTAAAACCTCTCTTGAATAAATTAGCGGCCTCTCAGTTATTGCATAACATGGTTACTGTGTGCAGGTCTAATCCTCTGGGTCTCTCCTTCTCTCTCTCCAGGTTTCTCTATTCTGCAGGCCATCATGGAGGCAGCAGTAGCTAACAACTGGCAGGTGACCGCTCGCTCCGTTAGCGGCACAACCGACGCATCAGAGTTCAAGCGCATCATTGAGGAGATGGACAGGAGGCAGGAGAAGCGCTTTGTGATTGACTGCGAGGTGGACAGGATCAACACCATACTGGAACAGGTGAGCCTCGCAGTCACCGTGGGAACGCCTGAACATGATATAACCAAACGCCTACGCTGTCCATCGATTCTAGCTCTCTTGTTTATTCCTGCTTTAGTCACATACTCACTAAGCATATTTAATGTACACACTGACAAATATCAAATCCACACTCCACTATTGAACAGTTCTGGTGTTCTTGATTTATGTATAACAAAAACTGGGTGAGTGGAGTATGAAGACAAGGGCGCTAACGATGCAACGAGGATCTAGGAAAAGATGCTACTGAGTTGCATTGTGGGACATTTTATCCATTATTCTTTTAAACTGTTCTAATAATTTTCCCCATAAACAATGGATACATTGTGTTACTTTCAAAGGTGTAGAATAGATCATAGTGAAAAAACCCACAAAGAATTAGCACCTTGTGGTTTTAGGGCCAGCAGCTTCATTATTTTGATTCACTTTCACCGCCCTTATTAGCGTTGCTTTTGTCCGTCGAGGCAGCTGTTTTCAGAATCTATAAAACCCTGGTTTACACTACCTGCCCAGCTCAAATTGGCACACTGTCAAAGTTGGTGACTATAGCTGGTGAACATAGTGGAGCGTTTAGCAACTTGAGAGCCACATAATTGCCTCAGGATTTCGTGGTATCAAAAGGATTAACAAAGGGTGTATATATTAGTGTATTTGAATGAATAGTGACTCCAAATAAATGATAATGTTACACCTCAGCTACACTATGCCATGTTTGCTTTTAAGCTGATAAATGGCAAAAATACAGTCCATACATGTTTTTTACATGTGAGTCCCCTTACTGGAAATGTCTCTTTGATTTAAGAAAACCATTCATCATTTAATAGGTATTTTCACAGCAGACATTTTGACTTAGAAGGACTAGAAACACGTGTGATGGCTCCGTTCTTTTCAAGTGTCTCAGTGAGTGACAGTTAATCAAAGCAGCTAAATGGATGTCAGCCACCATTCATTTGATTATTTAAACCTAATCAGTGGTGTAGTGGGGATTTTTTTACTGGGGAATACCGAAATGATTCGGTACGGGCCCTTCGGTTCGGTTTGTTCACATTGTGTTCAACGCGTCATAGAGCGAGCAAGTCATTTCATTGGACGAGAGGCATACTATGAGAGCTGGTCAGAGGGATGCGTTCAGATGTAGTCAGTCATTTGAGGAACTGTCGAAATTGTGAACGCAAATAAAGTTGAGCTCGAAAATCCTCCAGCATCATTGAAGTCTCCGGTTTGGGAACATTTTGGTTTCGCAGTTACGTACAAGGATGACGAACAAAGACAGGTGGACCGAACCAAAGCTGTGGGCATTGTTCAACTAACATTGGTTACGCGGCTGGCAATACATCAAACTTGCACACTCATTTGAAAAGGCATCACCCGAACGTGAATATCACCGGTACCAAAAGAAAAAAGACTGAAGTGCAAACCCAACTCCCGCTAGCATGTTAGCCTCCACCACTCGCAAAAAGTTCAGACCGAGCCAAAGCTATTACAAACGCCAAATATCCTTATGTTGCCATGTTAGCAAAGCGCTACCTGGCTGTATCTGCTACCTCTGTCCCTAGCGAGAGGGTGTTCTCCACAGCAGGAGACATTGTTAGTGCCAGCAGATCTGCCCTTTCGGCAAGCAATGTGGACAAGTTCATCTTTCTTTAAACAACATGAAAATACAATGACAAGCAAGTCCTAATGTCAAACTGGCTGCTTAGCTACTAGTACAGTACAGTTCAAATACAGATTATTTCAGTTCATCGAAAAGCTGCACCTTAATGTTTATTTTATTATATTTTGTATTTATTTGAGTGAATATTCAGTTTAATAATAATTAAAAACCCAAAACTAATAGTTTATGTTTTGTGAGTACTAGTACAGTAAAGTTCAAATACAGATTATTTCAGTTCATCGAAATTCTGCACCTTAATGTTCATTTGATTATATTTTGTATTTATTTGAGTGAATACATTATTCACAGTTTAATAATAATAAAAAAATAAAAGTTATGTTTTGTGATAATTTTTTCTGCTGTACCGAAAACGTACCGAACCGTGACCTAAATACGGAGGTACGTACCGAACCGAAATGTTTGTGAACCGTTACACCCCTACAAAACGGGCAGACAGGTCCACAGAAACTACCGGTATGCTTAGTCCTACTTTAGTTACTGTACTGCAAAAAGCAGACGGCGCTGCGTTCAACACACACACAGACTCAAAACCATGGACACACTGGCACATAAGTTACATAAACAATGTATAGGCCTAAATCGCATAAGCTACAGTATTGCAACTAAGCAGACAGCGCTGCTTCTCTCTCTCTATCTCCACTTTCAAAATCTATTTAAAACTCATAACAAACAAACAAAATTCACAAATTGTCCTGAAATTAACTTATTAAATAAGCAAAACGAAAAATATAGCCTACTTATGCAAACAACATTGAATATGGACTTGAAATTATTCTGATTAGGCCTAGCCTACATTGCAAATAAGCAGACAGCGCTGCTTTTCACACACACACACACACACACACACACACACACACACACACACACACACACACACACGTTTAGTTTCCCACACTGTAAAATGTTTGGCTGTAAAATTACAGTAAATTACTGGCTACTAGTTGCATGGATTTCACAGTAATTTACTATAAATATTTCACAGTAATTTACTGTAGATATTTTACAGTAGATTTGAATAAAAGTACGACTAAATACTGTGACTTTACAGTTGCCAAGCCCATGGAATTACTGTGATATAGCAGTACAGAGCTGTGGTATTATGGTACATTGATGTACATAAATTACAGTAATTACCTGTATTTTTACACTTTTACTGTAGAAGTAATGCAACACATTAGCCAGTAATTTACTGTAAATATAAAAATGTAAATAATACGATATTATATTGTACATCTGACTAGTTAACTGGGATTTTACCATAACTACACAATTCAATCAGCTCAATCAACAAAGAAAAACAAAGAAAATGCCCATTTTAACTTTGTATTACTCCATTGAAGTGCAAAGTGCATTTCACAGTGTCTTAGACATGTTACGGCCCCAACCTCTACTCCGCGGTAGTGGCTCGTGCTGAGACCCGCAACATGAAAGACTATACGCAATAACCGGTACTTGGTAACGAGCATTTATTGATAATCAGCCGTTTGCTCACACAAGCAAAACGGGAAACAAAAAGAGTTCTGGAGGAGTGGCCAAAAGGAACAAACAGAAGGAGAGAACCCGAGCCAGCTACACCACGGACCGTAGGACCCAGAGCTCCCCCCCCCTACCAGAAATCAATTATAAACCCTATGGTAAACAAAATAAAGCCGCGAAAACTGGACTACCAGTTCCTCGCTAAACATAAACACATCTACAAAAATGGCAAAGAGGTATTCTAAAGAGAGTGTCTCCCGGCGTTAGGATAGGCGAGACATCCTTCTCCTCCAGCTTCTCTTTATATATACACGGCTGAGTGGAATTTGGAACACCTGGGCAGAGGCGGAGCCAGGGGCAGACCAGGTGCACCTGTGCAGCAGGGAGACAGAAAAGAAAACAAGGAGGGGAGTACATGTCTACACAGACATCCACTCAAAGTCAACATTTTTCTGAAGAATGTGCTGACATGGGGGTTTAAATTGCCATGCCTCTTTATGGCTTTCGAGCATCCTGCTGCTCAGGATTAATGCCCATTTAAAAAAAAAGATCATGCTCCAAATAAGTGGTCCAACGCCCACTACACCACTGAACCTAATGCTGTAACTTGTCCGTGTTTTTTCTGTAAAAGAGGCCTATGGTATATCTCCTATGGCGTTTTTAATGTCTAGCTTATATTGAATTTTGTTATTTTTGTAGCACATTAAGGCTAAACTGTGTTGAGTTGAATATGACGCACAGCGGTAATCCTATAGCTGTTGGAGAGGCTATGTTAGGTGTTGTGTGTTTGCTAAGGTTGAAGCCGGCTTCTTTAAAAATCAGTGCATGTTGAAGCTTCCCGAGAGCCTGAGGCTGAGAGGTCCGAATGTGAGCAGCCATTTGGAAAGACCACTGGATGATGCATTCTTTGTAATCCTCTTCTAACAGCCCCAAACCCCTCCTTTCCTCCATTACGTCCATTGCCTGAGGAGGAAATGAAAGGTCCACCAGCCCTTGTAGTAGGGGAAAACACAATTACCATGAATAGATGAGTGGCTATTATGCCAGGCATCTCCTCTGTTGGGCTGCCCCGCTCCACCCTGCGCCGCTGTGCTTTCTGCTCATAAGCAATCAGTTCCTGTTTGGATTCTGCTCTTTAACAATCATTTAGATATTTGCTTATTTGTGCCTCGCAATATCCCCTCAATAAGTGTTGGATTTCACTTATCTATCTTGTATGAAGCTAATTTGATCCCAGAGTGGTAGTTTAAAGCAGAATAGCTTTTAGTATTAATTTGCTGTGTCTAATTTAATTGTTGTGCTGCAAATGTCCTACCAGTTACTATTGAGGGACTACAGTATACTGAAATATATTTGCTTTTTGTGTGAAGATGATGCATCGGCTTTTAAGAAAAGCTTTGAATATGAATTACAAATCACATGTGAGGCATATTAATGGGTACGTCTTTAATTGCATTTCCCCTCGTCTTGCAAACAAAATAAGGATGCACTGCAATAATCCGTTTGATGTTCTTCTGTCTTTTTTCCCATTCATTATTTGTTCTTTTTTTCTTCTAGAGGGAGCTCTTTCCCTTCCTTTACCTCAAATCATCACCATCATACTTTCTTTTCATGCCTTCACTTTTTTTTAGCAGGGTTTTTTCCAGCAGTTAACCTTCAAAGCAGCAGTGTGCACAATTTGGCCTCTTGTTTCAGCGACAACCTCAGCGTGGGATTTGTGTTGTTGTTGGAGCTAATTGAAATAATCTGGCTAGCTCTGGCAATATGGATGAGTCACATGCATTCATGTGAGCTGCTGGACTCTACTCTGCAGCCGCCCCCCTATTGGGCC